ATTAGATTTTGGAGTACGTAGGTCAAAGGTCACAGGTCACAGAGGTCAACTTATGAAATTCCTTGTATTGAGTTTGTTAGCGCGATATCTCAAGAACCATTTGAGATTTAAACTTCAAACTTAAGGATAGTATGTATCACCATAGGAAGACGATCTGATTAGATTTTGGAGCACGTATGTCAAAGGTCAAGGGTCACAGAGGTCAACTTATGAAATTCCATACATTGAGATTGTTATCATGATATCTCAAGAACCACTGGAGATTTAAACTTCAAACTTGGTGATAGTGTGTATCACTATAGGAAAACAATCTGATTACATTTTGGAGCACATAGGTCAAAGGTCAAGGGTCATAGAGGTCAACTTATGAAATTCCATACATTGAGATTGTTATCATATCTCAAGAACCACTGGAGATGTAAAAACTTCAAACTTAAGGATAGTATGTATCACCATAGGAAGACGATCTGATTAGATTTTAGAGCACGTAGGTCAAAGGTCAAGGGTCACAGAGGTCAACTTATGAAATTCCATACATTGAGATTGTTATCATAATATCTCAAGAACCACTGGAGATTTAAACTTCAAACTTAATGATAGTGTGTATCACCATAAGAAGACAATCTGATTAGATTTTGGAGCACGTAGGTCAAAGGTCAAAGGCCACAGCGCACATTATGAATGCAAAAACAGCTTGTGATCGCGTTATCTCAAGAACCGATTGATGGATTCATGCCAAAATTAGGTCATGTTTGTTACTTGCAGAGCCATGAACTGAGTAGATTCTTGGTTCATAAGGTCAAAGGTCAAAGGTCATGGGCCCATTATGTATGCAAAAATAGCTTGTGAACGCATTCTCATTAGAACTGACAGATGGATTACTATTTAACTCAGAACATCTTGCAGAGCCAATGAACTGAGTAGATTTTATGGTCATGAGGTCAAAGATCAAAGGGTCATATATGTATATGAGAAATTGCTTGTAATCACAATATTCTGAGAACCTGTCAATGGATTACCATTGAATGTGAATTCAATTTTTTTTTCTGTTTTGGTTTGTAAAATTGCTCTATAACGGAGGCATCATTTTCGACTGCGCGCAGTCGAATTCCATCTAGTTTTCTCATATCAAGGTTCTTCTGTAAGTGCAACTTACAGGACTTGTACTTTACATGCATGCAAGCAAGATGATTTAACAAGACAAGAAATCTTCTCCCCTCACAGTGCAGTAGTAGATAATATAGTGGCGCCTGTATAAACAGGGTGAAATGAACTATGAAATGTACCCTCATTGCTATGACCAGCATGTGATAGTAGGTATCTATTGACTGGTCATTGGTATGTCTCCCACTATCCATTGACATGCTGCCCCTGATGACTTGCCCAGCTGGCAGTCTGGATAGCCTTACTACCAGCAGCTACATGGTGTGATGAAGAAGTTTGCATGACTCACGTATTTAAACCTGCAAAACTTTATCTTGGGTAGAAGTAAGATGTACATGTACATGTACGTTGGTGGATTAATTCTGCACACAAAGTCAGGGTTTCACCTTGACCTCAAGTTAGAAATATGGCCATAGTGTTTTATTAATTTTTACCTGTAGGCTAAGTGTCAAAGTTTCCCTTTAAACAATCTACTATGTTTTAAAGCCTCACTGCACTAGTTTAGCCAGGAGGGATTAGACCTCCCTGCAAGGTCACTGACAGGTGGTTATTTTATCAAATCGGCTCTCAACGTAAGAAAAAGGGGATCATGAGGGACCAATGGTCACCGATTAGGCATTGTTTGCTATAGTGGGCACAAATAGCTAGAAGTAGTGCAGTGGGGCTTTAAATGATACAGGATTCCATGTTTGAAGAAAAAAATGTCTAACTTGCTGCTGTTTTACTTCAAATCAATATTACTACCTCAAGAGAGAGTTAAAAGCAGGTGTCTTGTTGATATTTTAATAAAACATATTGGCAGTGGCATGGATATGCTCAGCCCATCTGTATATCGGTGTATAATTTGACATTTGTCAGATCTACATGTATGCGCCAATGGGCGTGTTCTACCAAGGGGAAACGTATCGTGACATCAGCTTTATGCTAGAGAATTACCTTTAGTAAATGATTGAAAGTGAGAGGAAGGATTTGTGAAGTGTAAAGGAATATCTGATAAAGGGTACATAAGTTACAGTATGAAGTTTAAAGTTTTGAATGACCAAACACAAATTGACAACTCTGTGATTCATCTTGCAAGCAGCTTCTTATTACCTTTATATGAAGAATATTGCAAATATCCCACTTTCCTTTCTTGTACATGTATGTAGTTTTCAGAAATACTTTTATGTAATGGGAAATGTTAAAAACTTAAACTTGTGTCAGATTATACAGTATACCTTTATATGTACATGTTTGATGACAATTTTCTTTGGATAAGAAAAATAAATTAACTTTTACCTTTTTTGGGGCTTTGTCATTCATTTTACATGAAAATGTATATGTTACAAAATACGCTTTAGTGTAGTAGTGTACATATCTAGGCAAAATACTTTCTTTAAGTGACCATGCCAAAACTTCTTGGATATTAGAATTAGAGAATTTATTTCCTGGTGGAGCCGTACAGTGGATGGTCTTTCGACAGCTTTTATTACATTGGAAAGGTTTTGATAAAAGCCCTAGATTTGAAGATGGCTAACTTGCCTTCAACTTTGTACCTGCTTTACTTTAGCACGGTAGAAATGTATAAATGTATAAATTGGGGTCTTGACTCTTGGTCGTCTCTGCTTGATCTGTGAGATTGGCTTCTAAATCAGCAGGATTCTCAACCAGGTGATTTGGTCTGATTGGCATTGATGAGTAGGTAGACGTGGGGGGGGGGGGGGGGGCACATGAGAGAGGGACAGTGTCAGACAAAGACAGCTTGAAAGATAGAAAGAGGTTACGTTTATCGACCAGATTTTTGGCTAGAATCAGGTTTCTCAAACGTCTTTTAGGCAAATTTAGAAGGTGATAAACGCAAAGCCTTTTTTAAAGGGCTTTAGATATGGGCATATCTAAAGACGCAAAAAGGTGTGTTTTGTATGTGACATACAGCCAGAATCACGTTTCTGAGAGATCGATAAACGCAAAGCTGTTTTGAACCTCACATACAAATAGGACCACCCAGGTGTTGTGTACAAGCATGTGTGTGAAGTTGACCTCCGAGAAACTGTCTGCTTCCCGGGTCAAAATAGCCGGGCAGACATAAGGCCTTTATTTTGAATCGTGAAGGGACGATAAACTCGACATCCCGCAAATCACGATCGTATAGTGGGGTTCGATAGTGGGGTTCAATAGTGGGGTACGATATGTACATATCTAGTGGCAAGCCCCGATAAATGCACCCAGAGAGAAAAAGAGAGAGAGGGAGAGAGAGGAAGTGGGAGGGGGAGTGGGAGGACAGAGACAGATAGACACAGCTTGAGAGATATTGATAAGAAGAGAGAGAGAGAGAGAGAGGGGGGGGGGGGGGGGGGAGACATAAACCAACATATATCAATTCAGTGAATTAAAGTTATGTGTACTTTGGTATTCATTTTATTAAATGTGTAGTTACCCTGAAGAATTTGAGGTACATCTAGAGCCTTTGCTTGCTCATACATGTACATGCACACACACAATCTTTGAAGAAATATGTTTTTCCTACAATCCTTTATTATACCCTTGTTTTTGTTATGTACATGTACTCCACTACACACATGTCCGTGTAATCGTGTAAATATATCTTTGGTGATAAATGAAATGGAAATTAATCTACTTCGATTTCATGCTGGTGTTGTTCTTCTGACGTCAATGGAAATTGTTTGCAGTGAGGTAGAATGTATTTAAGTGAAAACACTTTGTGTTAACTTTAATGTGATATCCATATGGTTGGATAGAGACAGAAGAGAGAGTAGGGAGGGAAATGGACTCAAGATAGAGAAGAGAATGGAAAAGGAACAACGAGAACAAAATAAAGGAGATAGAGAGGAGAGAGAGAGAGAGAGAGTGAGAGAGAGAGAGATAGAGAGAGAGAGAGGGAGAAGGGGAGGGGGGGGGGGGAGTTATAGAATAAGATTATAAATAGAGACTGTTCCAAAAGAGAAAGAGAGGAGAAAACCAAATACATGCCTATTGTGTGAAATACTAGTAGAGAGATAAAGAGAGGGAGAGCGAGAGGAGAAAGGCATAGAGAGAGTGAAGCACCAGAGCTGAGTACAAAATCAGATATTCATTGTAGGAAATCAAATCGAAGAAAAGTACAGTAACTACTCATCTCAGAGGGGTTATAAACTGCTCGTTTCTGTTTCTCTTTGTTTCTCATTGTTTCTCATTGTTTTTCCTGTCTCTTGTATCTTTCAATACCACATAGGACAGCTGTACATGATAGCAAAACACAGCGATGAACAGTGTCTGATTGTCTCATTGTTTCTCACTGTCTTCTCCTGTCTGTTGTTCTTTCATTACCACATAGGACAGCTGTACATGATAGCAAAACACAGCTATGCTTAATGTCTGATTGTCTGATTGTCTTCTCTTGTATCTTTCAGTACCACATAGGATAGCAAAACACAGCAATGAACAGTGTCTGATTGTCCATTGTTTCTCCTGTATCTTGTATCTTTCAGTACCACATAGGACAGCTGTACATGATAGCGAAACACAGCTATGCTCATTGTCTGATTGTCTTCTCTTGTATCTTTCAGTACCACATAGGACAGCTGTACATGATAGCAAAACACAGCAATGAACAGTGTCTGATTGTCTGATTGTTCTCATTGTCTGATTGTTCTCATTGTCTTCTTCTGTCTCTTGTATCTTTCAGTACCACATAGGGCAGCTGTACATGATAGCGAAACACAGCTATGCTCATTGTCTGATTGTCTTCTCTTGTATCTTTCAGTACCACATAGGACAGCTGTACATGATAGCAAAACACAGCGATTAACAGTGTCTGATTGTTTCTCATTGTTTCTCCTGTATCTTGTATCTTTCAGTACCACATAGGACAGCTGTACATGATAGCAAAACACAGTGATGAACAGTCTCAGAAGGGAGAAGGCGTAGAAGTTATCCAGAATGTAGAGTGCGATGACCCTGTCCATGGCAAGGGCAGGTTCACAGAGAAACGGGTCTATCTATCAAAGTAAGTCAGTCAAACCATGGACCTACTGAGTGGTCAAACAAAATGGTCCTTAATCAAACCTACCTACAGTATAAATACCTTTGTTTGTTTTATCTGGATTATGTCAGATTTATTCAAGAGATTATATAAAATGTTATCTTAAAGGCACTCCATAGATTTTTTAAAAACTTTTAGAAGGCTTGTTGAAAAATTAGAACAAGTGGTGTTTTGAAGGAAGAATTATGTGGTGACAAAGTTTAGTAGAAATAACTTCTTTATTAAGATATATGATTGAAGGACCATTTGAAATGCAATGTGAATAAGACTTTATAATGCTTTTCAAATGAACATAATATATATATTTCTCTTACATAATATTTGTCATTTAAATGTGAGTTTTAGCATGTATGCTGTAATGTAAGTTTGTTCTACTGTGGTATTGAAGAAAACAAGGTTTTGTGGCTAAATTCCCTGATTGATTTGAAGAATGAGAAACTTATATTTCCTCACCACATTTATTCATGTTATATCATTCATTTAAACCGGGTCTTGGAATTAGTGTCTTGATGTAGTACCCGTAATGCTCATTTAACGAAAACCTTTTCTTGTCTTTGTTACAGTCGATTACCAGTCTGGATACAGAAGTTAGTTTCCAGGTTGTGCAGCTACTTCTATATAACAGAGAAGGCATGGAATCACTATCCTCATACAATGACAGGTTAGCCATCAACTTCAACTAAAAATTTCTCTAATTATTTCTATTTAATAAAAATATGTGATTTGTTACCCAGTATACTGTTCTCTTTAGCCTAAACATACTTATGCACGTACCAAACTTTAATCTTTCCTTATTATCTGAAATGTTAAAACCTGTGATTTTCATTTAGTTTATACACCTAATGGCCCAACATATTCAATAGGAATTAGGTGCTTTGCTCATCTAAGAGAGAAATGCCCCTCTCAATCGTAGGGAACCCCACAAATTTGATGGCAGAATTTCACTTAAATTGTATCATAATGTGAAAGAGGATGTCATTTAAGACACATTTCTGCAAGGATTTTTTTTTTTTTTAATGAGTTTGAAGCCAAATATTGATGAAAGAATACAAAATTTAGGTTTTCTTAAGGTAAGGGGGGATCTTTGCATCAAATTTTGGGCAAATTTGGAGTTCTCAGCACTTTAGAGGGGCTTTTACATAGCGAAAGAGAGGCAATTGCTTGAACCAGTAGAAAGAAAAGGAGGGTAAGGGAAAGAAAGAGAAAGAGAGAAAGAAAGCAAAAGAGAGAGAGATAGAGAGGAAAATAGAGAGAGAGAAAGAAGATTTATACACATTAAGTGAAGGAGAGGGAGAGAGGGTGGGAGAAGCAGACAGACAGACAGAGAGATAGAGACAGAGACAGACGTACATGAATATGAATAATAGGAAAGCATAGCATATCAATCACATTGAGCCCCAAGCATTAATTTCTCATCATGGATAGTGCACTTGACTCCATTGCCATGCAACCACATGGATGATGAGGTACATTGTAAGGCAGGGAAATAGACAGGGACAGTGACAGAGACAGAAAAAGAAGAGAGAGAGAGAGAGAGAGACAGAGAGAGAGAGAGAGAGAGAGAGAAAGAGAAGAGAGAGAAGAATGAAGGGAGCAAGAAAGGGAAAAAAAGATAATAGAGAGAGATATAGAGATAGAGAGAATGAGAGAGAGAGAGAGAGAGAAAGATAAAGAGAGAAAAATGAAGGGAGCAAGAAAGGGTAGGAAGATAATAGAGAGAGATTCAGAAGAAAAGGGGAAAGGAGAAAAAAGTAAAACATAGAAAAGAAAGGGAGAATAGAGAAAGAGTGGATAGAGAGTTTGAGAGAGATGACGAGACAGAATACAGACAAGAAACAAAGGGAGAGAAAGAGAGAGAGAGATGGGCAGACAGACAGACAGAGGGAGAGAGAGACAGAGAAAGCGTTTGAAAGCGAGAGAGGTATATACACGTGGAATGGTGGTCTATAAAACAGTCACAAACATACATGCTGCCAGATCCCCTAGACTCTATCGGTTCTTCACCGCATATCCATGCAGTCCCTCACCACTGCCCATGTACTGTCAGCTGTTCCATGTCAATTGAGTTTAGCCGAGGGATTGGTCTGGGATCAACTTGCAGATCATTTTGATTTTCATACTTAATCCTCTTTAAGCCAACGATGGTTTCACACCATTGTTCTTACTGTCATGGGAAAACGGCAACAGAAACTTGAGAAACACAGTTTCTAAAACTGTCAGTTTAGTTATCGTTTAATTTAATTGGATTTTTATTAAAACTTTGACCAGTCTACTTGATTTTTTTGCTTCATCTAGAGTAGTTTGCTATCAAGGTTGGGTTTCCCTAAATGTGAGATAAACTCAGAAGAATTAAGATTATCCGCTGAATGGTATTGTAAGTTTTGTTGTCAGGAAAATGTGCAGAAACCTCAAAGTGTTCCTAATACCTAAAGAATGTATAAATCAATCAACCCTCAAAGAAATTGTATCCAGCATCCTTTGTGCTAAAAGAAAATTAGTATTAAGAAATTAAAGAATAACATGAAACCCAGCGCAAATGTATTCTATGCAAGCGCATATACATGTATATGTACATGTGCATCTAGAAGTTTACGCACAAGTCACATTTATGTAATAATTGAGAGTGTCTTTAAACTTGCTGATTCTCTTTATAGCTTGAATGTGGTATAGCAACATGGAACCCTTAAAATATAAAACATACCGGGGTAGTATTTTTGGTAATTGGTACACTTTAATTCATGTTGCCCAGGTCTAGGATACCAGTATTTTTATTAATCAATTTGGCAATTAAAGGTTTATGACTATGGCATTGTCATGGTATTATTAGAAAGGCTACATTTCAATAAGGAATTAAATGTGATTACTTTTGATTTTGACTACAAATATCTTCATCTCCTAATTGAAAATTGAAAGATGACAGACGTGTCAAAACCTTATGGGGCCTAGGGATGGGGGATCTTATTGGAAGTCACCATAATATTCAAGGATACATGATTACCAAAGATCCATCAGTGGTCTGAGTTTGGCTGATTAATCTGCGAAGAGGAATGTGTCTTGGTCGACTCAAAAAGCTAATAAGCTTCTATGTTGAATATAATGAGTTACTGCTCCCAGTGGAATACAGTGCACTTACAAGTGAAATCTTAATGAAAAAGCTACATATTGTAAATCCACACTCACACTCCTCCTCCCCCCCCCCCCCCCCATTTCCCCCAAGAAGAGAACACTTTCTTTCCTTTTCCCAGATGTTACTCGTCCATCAGGATCATTGAGAAGATTTTCTGATAAGTCCAATTTGATACCAAATCTGCTTAATGCTACATGATTTACTATAGCATAAACTGTCAGGGGGCTGCCTTTGTAGGAAATACTGATGGACGTAAAGTATTCTCTCATTTGCTGTGGTTGCCTTTGCTATAGGATTGTTTCATCAAAGATGTGGGATTAAAGTTGTATTTCTGTATTCTTGTTTAAATAGGTTTAGTGTTAGGATTAGGGTAATGTTTAGTGTAGGGGCTAGTGTTAAAGGTAATACAAAGTTTTGGGAAATATTGAAAATGGCCGGATAGCGATTCTTTACAATTTTGATACATTTGGATGCCCCTTAGGATGTATTATAAACACTAGAAAAATTAACCCCTAAAACACTTCTGATTTCGAGAAAAATTGAATATAAAAATTTACCGGTGCTCCCGGTAAATTTTTGATAAATTTCAAATAGCTTATACGGCCATCCAATGGTAGCTGCGACCATGAAAATCTCAGAATATGCAGTTGCGATATGTGATTTCCAAACGGGAATAGCAAATTTGTCGATTTTAGTCAAGAAACGTCGTTTTAAAGCTATTTAATATCTTGACCTTGAGAGGGAGCTATACAACATAAAGACTTAATTATTTACAATTTCATCACTTTAGACTCGATTTCAATCGCGACAACAATCACTGAATATTATAGGATCGCATTTGCTTCCAATATGTTCATTTAAACCAAATTCATGACCCCATACCAAAACTTTGTGTTACCTTTAAAGTTGATCATTTGATTAGTTTACGGTATCAACTGCTCCACAGTTTTTAACAGAGGAAGTATTGTAGATCCGTACATATTTACCACCTTTCCCTTAGGCCTGTATGAAGTCAACCCTTACTGACTTTAGTCATTAAGTTGGGTCTTAATTTGAAATTCAATTTTATTCATAGAAATTGATTAAAGGCATTGTTTAACAATGTTAATCTGAGATGCACGGCCCTACATGTACGTGTTATCGGTGTATTTGATATGGGGTAATATTGAAGCCCTAAAAAAATTGCGCTTCAAAATGACCAAGAAGTGCCTCAAAAAAGTAAAAATCTTTGAGTGACCAGTTTTACCATACTTGTTTTCCCCAGTAGACTTATGAAAACCATTAATCAGACAGGCGATCGGCTTGTAAAAGTCATGGGGTTCGTGACTGATCTAAAGGTTTATAAGTATCATTGCAGCGTGAGCTAAATCCAGGATTTTGTTTCAGAATCTGAGACAAAGTTACCCAACCCCTTTAAGGTTTTAAGTGCGTAGTCAAATCCAAGTGCTCCATATCTAAAGCAACATCATACATGTATGTGCATGTTTGATGGCTCAGTTGTAGAGCAGGTGTCTTGTCACTGTGAGGTACTGAGTTTAAAACCAATTGTATCTGCTTGTGCTCTGTGCAAAAGACCTACACATACAGCTTCAAGTCCTTTGGATAGGAGTTTCAGCTGTTTGTCCTCCTGGATCCTTAACATCCTGGTGAAATAAACCACCATTTAACAAAATCACATTGATTTTAATACTTTCATATCTTCTTCAGATAATCATGGTTTTTTGCTTTCTGGTAATACGCCCCAAATACATTCCTAGATAAGATTTTAGCAAAATTCCTGTCAGGACTCTTATCAGCTGCTGAATTACTTCAGCACTATTAACCTGATGAGGATTACTTTCCCTCCTAAACTGTACCCAGAGGAATTATTGACAGTTTCATATCTACTTTAGATATCACAGAATACAATTAGAAAACATAGTATTTAGACTTCAATAGCGATGGTGATTATTTTACCTGACGGGTAAGAAATCATAAATGCTTGAAAGTAAGCAGCCAGACGGCCGGCGGCTTTAGGTCATCTCCGAGGGACCTGGTAATGAGGATTAATGCCTTACCAAAGGGCACTAGCGCATCGACTTGGTTTCGAAACCCGGGTCACCGGATTACGAGACCACTGCTCTACCGACTGAGCTATCGTGCCTCCTCTTGAATACTTGAATCCATACATACATTCTTTTCATCCATTTGCCTTTGATGATTCACACATGAGTTCTAGGACCAGTGCCTCTATGTCTACTACCCCCTGAACAACAACACCCAGACGACCACTCCCGGACAAAATTACCCCTAGGGCCTATCCCATTTCCCTGACAACTACCCCCATAGCAATTATTCACTGTTTAATACTTCCATTTCGTCTTCAGATAAAGCAGAACACAACTTACTAGAACTAAATATCCAATATTACTATCAATTTTAATTTGCCTTTGATTTTTTAAGATAACATTTTAGGTCAAATATGTTAGACAGACATCTACAGTACTCCAGTGTAGCTACGTTTTTTCTGTAAAGTTTGTGGGTACAAAGATTAA